AAAAAGTTATCTCTTGTTTCTGTCTGTCTGTTTCTCTGTCGTCTGTATCATTTTTTATTAGACACGTAATCTCCGAAACTACTGGACCGATTGTTGATAAATTTTGTGCGTATGCTAGGAATATCATGTAATGGTAAAACGCTAACGAAAATTTAACCAGTCTTCCCCACCAATAGTTTGATAACGTAACTCAAAAAATTCTGTTTTGAAATGATTTAAATATTATACAATAATGTGTAGTAAACCAAAAGCTATAAGGTGATATGGCCATCTTAAAATTATCCCATTCTGTCGAAGTTAAGTTGTTTACAATAGAAAAGGTTTTAGGGTCGTAAATAACGTGTCCACTGCAGCTCGACCGGCTGTTGTCGTTTCGTTCAGGGGCGACTTTTACTAAATATCTAAATTTAAGCAAGAAATGTTTAGAAGACGATTTATTGCCAACCGGTAAGCTTAGTGCGAACCACAAAGGGGGGGTATTTATTTGCGGTCAACTACTTTCATGATGGTCATATAACCTTAGAGCTCTTGGAGTACTTTAGTTCTATCCTTGTGATGTACAAGTCCGCTTTGTGCGGCGGCCCTGTGTCATAGTATTATTAAAGGGTGGAATTATGATTGCACTGTATAAAGATCTTCATAATAGAGAAATGTTGTAGGTTTATTTTTGCCAGTGGCTATTCTAAGAGTGACGTTAAAATGAAATAGAAATTACCTTTCTAACAGAAAAGAGATTACTAATTTGATGCCTAAAATGGCGTTGCAAAAGTTTCTAGAAAAAAAAACACATAATTTGTAATAACTTTTCAGCTTTATTTTTAAAATATTTGAAAAAAACAACATTTTATTGTCCAGAAATGCATTAGTCAGAAATAATAAAAATAATAAAACGACGCAAAATCATTACCCCTGGAAACGAATTAACAATAATTGTTTCAAAAATATTATTTCTGGCGAGTTTTTTATCAATTAAAAATGTTCCGTTCGACATTATGTCAACAAGGACAAGTATGTCAGTTTCGACATGTGCAGCTTAAGACTAATAACAAAACACCGTTCTTGAGATTTGATCAATAAAAAAATTGGGTGAACCTTCTTTGAATTAATCATTAAAAAATATAGTTAATAAGAGTCATAGATTAAGATAAAAAAAGAAGCCACCCACTGAATCACTAGGGCTTCGAACTCGAGACCTTCGGGATTGAACACTGCTATGGTAATTAGACTGCTGCTTATGTTAACACAAAAGGTAATCAATGATCACACCATTTGGATTTTTTTCCGAAAATTTTGATGTCAAGGGGAAACACACAAAGCAATTCTTGGTAGGGATATTTACTCAAATTTTGGTAAATGTTTTATCATCTACATGATATTCCTAATATACAGGGTGATTCGACTTAAATGACGAATGTGATTTGCGGTTAGCGGCAAAACATATTATCCATTTATACTATAATTTCAAAAATATCACAACTCATCGAAATCTGTGGTTTTAAACATTTCAAAACAAAGTATCACTGTAACGTATTACACTTGAAATAAAAATTGATGGAAATAATTGTTGAAAAATGAGCCTCACGAATCCACCGTGGATTTTCTTGTGTGTATAGGTATAATGTAAATTGTATTTGTTGTTCATATTGCCATTTTTGGAAAATTTTGGGAACATTTAGCAACTGTTTCCGAAAAAATCGTCAAATGCTAATCTTCATGGAAAGCATGGAGGTCGAATGGTCATCCTACCCCCATGGTGGAAATCAATTTTTCGTAGTCCATGAACTAACTGCGTTTGATTTATAGCAATTTCTCTCGCAATTGCCCATTGTACCATGTGTTAAAACACTTCTCCGTTTACTCACAGGCCAGTCGTTTCGTAATTTCGTTTCAAATCTTGAAAATTGCATCTGTTGGATGTTTACGTTTAGGCTGTCTCTGAACGCAAAAATTTAGCGCTTTTAAAGAATTTTTATTGATTTGTGTATTGTTAAACGAATATCTACGAATACATTGGCATTTTTGCAAACAATTTTCAATTGGTCAAAATTGACAGTGACAAAGTGCAAACTTGGATTCATTATATTTTTTAAATTCTACTACGAATCAAGGAACAGAAGAAAAATGTATTTTGGGGTGCCTATCGAGTTAGGTCAAAACACTACATATAAAACTTGACAAAAATGGGTTTAGTAGTTTCGGAGAATATATGTCTAATATAAATTGACATAGACGATAGACAAACGATAATCAGACGGAAACGGGAGACCCCTTTTTTCGTACTTTAGGTCTCATGAAACGTTGAGAAAACACGAAAGTAGCAAGTCGTCCGATGGACTTATATATATAATACTTATAATACTTCCCTTCGCTTACGCCGGGAAAAATATTGCAATGGAATTTCCCTTGCCATTGAAGCATAATCGATTCAACAAGACCTGTTCGTTAGATAAATTATACAACTTGAATCTCCCTTTTTTTTATAATCCATTCAATGTTGGGATCCCGGAAACAGTAACAGACAGGAGGTCATTTAAATGAGTAACAAGTGACCTTATGGTCACTGAGTGTTTAAATAAATTTGAACTTTTATAAATTATAAAACAGGATTTGACATTGGCCAACATTATACAGGACTTTTATAAACGATTTTAAGGGCGTAGTTGGCCATGGATTATGCATCATTATGACAGTTTTCACTTGTCACATTAATGTCTAATGTCATTTGTAATCAGTCATTTAAAGTTGTCGTTTTTATTGTTTTAATGTTTTTGAAGTGCGATTTACAGTAATTCTCGTTGATCGAAGCTCAAAACAACAAAACAGTCATTTTCAGAACTCTTGGTGGTTGCGTATGAAAATTTTGTTTTTGTGCTAAGAAGCGAAGACTGTGAAAATGGTTTATTTTGTTGAACAAGACACTTTCATCGTTATGTCTTGTTATCGCAATGGGACTTCCTAAACGAAGAGGTTGTCTATTCTGTACCCGCTTGTAAGCAAGAATATCTGTCCAAATACCGTGATTTAATGATTCAAGAAACATCGTTAAAGGCCCACACTAGAGATATAATCAACAGATTTGTTCGAACTGGCAGTATAAACAAAGAGAAATCTCGCGTAAGACTTCATTTGAGGCAATCGTTGATGATTTGAGACGACTTGAATAGAATTGAACGATTGAACAACGGGTTCAAAGTATTGACGAAAGGATGTTACAGAACATTTTTGAAATTAAAAAAGAGTGAACATGTGCATTGCACAGAATGATGAACATTTTCAACATTTACTGGGATGTTTAACCGCAATAAATTTGTTTCTTTTTATCGTAATTAATTAGTTTTATTTTTTAAAAACATGTGCAGCGTTTAGACAACCAGTTATACACATGTGTGATCTTTGTCATGCGTCCTTGGGTACTTTGTACAGTTCTCCGTACAGTTCAATTTGAGAGGCGGCACGTTTACATGACCTACTGCGACCGTATAATCATTTGTAGAAATTCTGTATTTAATATAATAATAAAATCGATTGTAATGTAGAAAAATGTGTGGTGTGTATAACAATTTATATTTAATTTTAAATAATTTTTCTAGACATTGCTACCACTTAGGAACGTGAACTTTACACAATGGAATAATCTCATTATGAGCTATTCTCCATTTATTTTATTGCACACATTTCGAATACGGATGTATTTTGTTTTGAAAGTTCTGCCGAAACTTTTGTGACATACGTTGCTTAGCACTCCTTTGCCTGAAAATCATAAGAAACAGAAAATCGTAAGATAACTGTCAGATTTTCGACCACATTTTTTTTTCCTGTTTCCGCTTCGCCGTTTCCCCCTCGGCAATCCTACTCGTTAATAGACAATTTTTATTTTACCAGATTCGGATTATTCCAAAATATTTCCTATTTTGTTTTATCAGGAAAGACAGAAAAATTAATTTGACATTTTTGGTACGAGAAGAAACGTTCTTTATTATTTTGTGGTTCACAGAACACTGCCAATCCCATTTTAAAAAAGAAATGAAAAGCCCCATGACATTTCGTTCACGGTATATACTCATGATACCAAATACTAGTTTCCTAATACACTGCCAGACAAAAAAATCCGGACACTTAACTTTTTTGTGATTACTTGCAATTGGTCGAACTTTTGTAAAAAAAATCCAAAAAGCAAAACATTAATATATTCATTAACAGAAAGCATAACTTTATTCTAAAACATGTGGAAACAGAAAAAAAGTAGGAAAAGGTATAACATTAACATAAGCGTAAAGTTACAAATATTCGAGTGTCCGGATTTTTTTGTCTGGCAGTGTATATTTAAAACTTTTCTGTTTACTGTGCTCTACAGACCCGACTGATCATCCTCGATTCTTTGCTTTAATCTTTCCAATACCTGATCTCCTCGTTGTTTTGTTTACATGCGCCGCTTATGTTTACATAAACCTATAAGACACAAGATTTTATGTCTTTGTTTTGATCTAAAATCCGACCTAGACGTGATTGTGTTTTCTCAAGGAAAACGACATTAGCCCCTCATTTAACTGCGAACCGAATTCTGAACATTATTACACACCAATCAGATCAAACGCTCTAGTTCTAACTCTCTCCCCTTTGACTTCACTTCCATGCACCCTATTTAGCCTGAAACGAAATTCGCCGTACCTTTGACGAAAAATCAATTTCTCCATTAAAACAAGAAAAAAATCTTTGTATAATACCCTACTGCGAGCCCCTTTACCGCGCGTACAATACGCCGCCGTCGAAATAAACCCAAGTCGTCGCCCCCACCTTCCTTCGATTAACCTGTCCTCGTTGCCATAATTGCCCCATCCCCGAGCCCCCGTGAATGCAAACCAGCAAGAAAAAAACAAACATCGGCTGGATGTGCAAGCAAATTGAAAATATCGCACACACGACACGCAACCCGCGCATGCCCGCTGTAGCGATTGTTGCCTATCGAGCGGCAGGCTGCAGTGTACGGTGAGCGTCGCGACGTCCGCGTCGTCGCTGCTTTTTCGCGGACGGTGGGCGTACCGTGGCAATGTGCACGACAATACAGCCATCCGTCTCACACGCACCCTACATCCGAGATATTTCTGTCGCCCTCTTGGCGCCCGCTCTGTGCCAAATTTAAGCCCCCTTGTCCCACTGTCTCTTTTCTACTCGACTTTTTTTACAGGTAATTTTGACGTGCGAGTGCGGCCTGATGGACAATTAATGTCACTATTAATTCCGGGAGTTGTGAGTGCGATTATGTATTTATTCTTGCCAACTTTTAGTTCATTCTATGGAAGAAATACTGCATTGAAACGGCGATTTATGACCCGATTTGAACGCCAGACGAAACGCTTTTGCAATTCTTGTAATGTTATTTTATATATTCAAATAATATTGGAGTGATTATTTAAAATAATTTGTTCTCGAATCACACGAACGTGAAATTACATGCAAATTTTGTATGTTACTGGCAATCGTTATTTAAGTTAGTACATATATTATAGTTTAAAGTTCAAAGATCGCTGAATTATAAATTATTTTGACACACTACAATTTCCTCATTCATATTTTTTAAACGTTAAATTGTTTTTTCTTTGGTTTCATCGTGATATTTAAAGCTACTCGAAGAATTGACGTTTAAGGTGGCTTAAAATACAACATTCCAATTATTTCTTTAAATCGTATTTAAAAAAGTATTTACTATTTTTACATAAAGGTTTTTCATTATCCAAGGTAGTATTAATAGTATTTTAAAAGACTAATTGTGCCGAATGTTTAATACACGTTTTTCAGGTGTTCATAGCATACGAAAATGTAAAATTTCAGTTGGCACCGTGTCAGGGTCTGTCTTTTAAATGTCTAAAAATAGTAATGCAGAAATTGCTTATTTCCGTTCTGCAGTACTCATACGAATTGCTCTGGTAGTAAACAAATCATATTATATCAACACAACAAAACTCCAAAAATTTTGGTAAAATATTGATCATCTAAAAAAACCTGTTGACCTTTACTGAAAAATAGATTTCAAAATACAAAAATGTATATTTTTACTTTCCGAGAATCGAGTCCATAGGGCGACTAGTTACCTTCATATTTTCTCGATGGGTCATGACCTCTAGAACACGAAAACATAGTTCTCCCGTTTCCGTCTGTCTGTCTGTGAGCCGTCCGTGTGCATTTTTGTTTAATCATTCCCACCAACAGTGTGATCACTTCATCTCAAAATTGTACCTAGTAAGTGTAAATTGTTTAAAATAATATATACTCCCACACTGTAGTTTATGAATACGTGTTGAGCTTGTACACACCTAAGCTTTTTGGAAAAAGAATCAAAACCGTTTAACAACATTTTGCAGTTTAATTTTGAATCTGGTTAGCAGATGTTTTAAAGTTATCGTAAACACGGTAAATTTTTAACCAAAATATATCTATTTATCCCTGTGTCTCAAAAAATTTATGACATCATCTCAAAATTCACGGAGTAAATCCTATCGAAAATGTGCAAAATATGATGAGTCGATACTTGTGATTTACCATTGCCTTCATATTATTAGAATTGCTTATACACGATGACTCAGAAAAAATAATTAATGAATTAAATCAGGAACTGCAAAATCGAATGCTTTGAAATCTTGCAGTCGTTTCAAGGTTGTCGTAAGCATGGTAAATTTTTAATCGAAATATATATCTGTCTAACCACCCTATCCCCTTTTTTTGATCAGATAAAATAAATTTAATAAAATTGATCACTCTCTAATTTTTTATTGATCAAATTAAGAACTGGTCACCCGATTTTAACGAAAATGTGAGAATTAGCATGTTTTTATTTAATAATGATTAAATAATAATTATAATAATAATACTATTCAGAACATGTTGTTCGATTGTGGCTTAATTAATAATTTTAATTCTCTATTTTGAGGCAACAAAACTCATTCAAATCAAATTCGTTTCTACGTGACATTCTTCCGATGTATAAAACATAAATACTTCAAGTTGTTATTACTGCTGAGAAACTCTTGTCACTCATTAAGTGTAAGCTATAGTAATCAAGTCCATCGGGCGACTTGGTATTTTTATATGTTCTCGACTCCTAGACAGCGCCGTAGCTGGGGAGGCCAGGGAAGACTGAGCTTCCCTTAAAGAATTTCTTGCCTCCACTAGACCTAGAAAAGCCATAATTAACTAAATGTGAATTACAACCTCGAAAATGAAAATAAAAGTCAATGTTTTATTTAGTAAGCGAAGGTCGAAGCAATAGAAAAACGTGCACCGGTAGAGAATGTCGTTTAGTTTAGTTGCTCTGTTTCACTCTCACGTGTGCAACTCCACACGCGTTATCGCTATTTGTTTTAAATTACGAGGAGTAAGCTTGTCGGTTGAATTTCACCTCTGCTACTACACATGGTGAACGTAATTAAATTGTATCGTTATTTTATTCATTCAATCAAGATTCAAGAACGACTCACTCTATTTTACCGAAAATTTGGGAATACAGTACTGTTATTATTAGTATTACACTCATTTATCAAAACTGCTATACATGTCCTTGCAAAAAGTGTTGATGACTTCATCACAAAATTTTGTAATGTAAAAAGTTACTTGAACCAAACGTATAGTACGCTTCTTTACCTTTACTTGAACATTACGTACATCGTTTTATTTCAATTTATCAGGGTTATCACAAAAAATAAAATTGGCAAAATCAAATCTTGTAATTTTTCGAAAGCGAGAAGAGAGAGAGAGAGAGAGAGGGAGAAAGAGAGAGAGAGGGAGAAAGAGAGAGAGAGAGGAAGAGGTGGTGAAACTTGTAACAAGTCAAAATCAAACCCAAACAAGTTCTGCAGAGTCGACAGTTGAACTTTTTGCGCAGGAATAAGGTTATGAATCGATAATGGTCGAAGGAAATATAAGATTAGACTTGGGATGGGTAAAGAAAACCCGAAAATGAGCGATAGTGAAGAATATGTATTAGACAGAAGATTCTGCTAAAAGGAGGAGAAAAATAAATAACAAAGCGGAAGGGTTTGAATATAAAAAGACCGTCAGAACACCGGCAAAGATAACAACGAGCGAAGATAAGCTAGACTTATTAATGATGGAAATGATAGCAGAAATAAAAAGGGACATGGAAGAGATACTATTAGAAAATCGTCAACTCCAAGAAGAAATAGATGTGTTGAAAGAAGAAAATGAAAATCTGAGGAAACTGAAGCATAAATACCGATAATCAAAAAATACATGGCAAAACAGGAAAAAAGTTAGATAGGTTAGAGAGGAAAAAAAGGAAAATAATTAGTGTTAACGGGAATAAAGATAGACAACAACGATCTCAAAGTTTTGAGAGGACTAGTAAAGAATTTTGTAAGGGAAAATTTAAGACTTGAAGTGGATATTAAGAAAGCAGGAAAACTGGGAGAGAAAACATGTTTGATAGAATTAAGAAATCCGGAAGACCAAGAAAAAATGGAAACACAGTTAGAGTGGGATATACGAAATTGATAATAAATGGGGTAGAGTGGAAATGGAATAGAGGAAAGAAGGGTTTGCAAAAATCTGATCCAAGAAACTGAGGGAATACTATGATGTCAGACCTTTGGATGCTGACAGTGCAATGAATAGGTACATGAAAAAGAAAATGAGTAGAGAAAATAAAGTATATAAGGCAAAGAAGTTTCAGTTTACTTACAGAAAATTTAAAGGTGAAATCACGGAATGTGTGGGGTACGTTTGAATAAGGTCTGTTAGAGAATTTAGTCGATAATGTAAAAAATATGGTTTCGATCTTGCTGCAGTACTAGAAACAAAACAGGAAGGGCAGGAATTTATTATTTTATGTGGAAGTGAAAACATAATGTTGGGAACGGGGTTTATTATTAGTAAAGATTTTATGAAAACCGTAATAGATAGATTGTGTTACAAGAGTAAGAGGTAAGTACCAGAAAATCATGCTTATAAACATTCATGCAACAACTAAGGAAATAAATCTTTAAGACAAAGAAGATTTCTATACCAGATTATATAATATATACCATGAACTACCAAAATATTGATGATTTTAGGTAATGCTAATGCAAAAATTGGGAAAGAGGACGTGGATAAACCGATAATAAGAAGTTATAAGCACATGTGTACAAATGAGAACGGGACAATGTTAATAGATTTAGCAAAACAAAAACTGCCACACAAAAAACCCGGACACTTGAATATTTGTAACTTAACCCTAATATTTAGTGCATTTATTAGAAAACCTTATATTAGAGTAGAACTGAATGAGAAAAAAAAAAAACAAGTGACCACTGCACTGACGTCTTAAAAGGTTCCTAAGAAAAATTAATGTAAATATGAAGGCGTCTAAAAGTTCGAATTTATAAGACCATAATAAGACTAATCCTTAGTTATTAGAGTGAAGTATAAACACTGACAGGAGCAGAACAAAATATGCTAAGAGTCTGAGAAAGAAAAATTACTAAAAGTTTTTATCGTTTTACACTTGAAAAAGATTAAAATATCGCGTTTTATCTGACATCCCCGTTGCATTTTTTCTTCTCATTCTATGTAATTACCATTTCTTCATTAGTCGTTGTTGACATTTAGTGTTTTATAGCTTCTCATCGGCATTATATCTTCTTTTTTTTGTTCATTTACTATTATAATTTTGTTTCCACATGGTTTCTCTTAACAAACTGAAAGGTTTTTTATTTTCATTAATGTCCACATGTTTCCTAGTTAGTAGATATTTTTTTCCAATATTAATTAATTTTGGCTTCGTACTCCAATGTTCGGACAAGTTACCCCATCAAATTTTCTATAATTTCCCTTGAGAAATTTTTTCATGCTCTATACGAGCCCTAACAACTAAATGTTCGGACACGTATTCTTTTATACAAAAAAATGTAATTTGTCGTTTCCACCAGTTCATAATTCCCCAACCCTTTAGCTGACATGCATCCCCACACCATTATTCCTTTAGGAAACTTTACAGTTCGTTTTAAACAGTCTTTATTGAACGCTTCACTTTTTGATCTTATCACTCTTCTCCGCAAATCTCCCACGCACACATCAAATGTTGACTCGTCACTAAAAATGACCTTTGACCAATCTTCCATGGTCCATGCCAGCTTAGACTTTGCCCAGTTGTACCTATTTTTCTTTTGATTTGCCGTTATTAAAGGTTTTTCTTTGGCCTGTAACGGCACGGTGGAAAATGTAAACCAAAAACTTAAAAATTACCTTATGAAAACTTAATCCTGACTTGTGAATCCATTTCCTACAACATTCTCGTGACAGCTTATGCCCTATTTCATCCGTCCATTGTGCTGTTATGTCCCGCAATGTGTTTCTTCGATTTTTTTTACAAAGTTTTACAAGGAGCCTTTGACTTCTTTCTGAAACTAATTTCGGTCTTCCTGAACTTTTTCCTTTAACGTCTAGTCCACCAGTTTCGCGATAATGTGAGATTATATCCGCTACAGTGGACTTTGCTAAATTCAGTTCGTCACTAATTTCCCGAATTTTTTTACCTTGGCAATACTTCTTTACAATAAGTGCACGTAATGATTTTTCAAGTGGACGTCCACGAACCATTTTGTTAAAGAATATATATATTTTTCTATGGAGCTTACAACACAGTTAGGTAAAGCAGGAAGAGGAGAATGATATTTATTAACAACTAAACAATTCACACCGCCTACTTAGTGAAAATTAATTTTTTTATTTATTTGTCCGAATAATTAGTTGCCAAAGTGTATTCACTTTTTCTGAAAAATCCACAATCATATTTGAATTAAAATTCTATGTAAAGTAAAACATTCAACTTTTTTATTAAAAACTATTCTTTGAAATCTTAGCTTCCTATTTTTATGTGATTTGATAATAAAAATCAAAAATTAATTCATAAAGAGTGGTTTTTGAACGCTCCGGTTAGTTTGTCCGAACATTTAGTTGTTAGGGCTCGTATATAACTGAGTATTGTGCAAAAAGTTTCATTCATTTTGTGTTTTTCATTTACATTTGATATTCATACCTCTCTTCGTCAACGTTTCGTTTTCGTCATTCATACCATAATCTAGTTTATTGTTTGGTAATTATTTCCGTTTATTTTTTCTGCAGCTATGTACTATTTCTATGGTAACTTTTTTAAAAGTTTCTTACCTCGTTTCGTGTAACTACTGCCCTTTTATTTCAACTTTGAATCCACACGCTTCAATAATAATTTCAAGTAAACAATCTTG